TTATTTTACTGGAGGATACTGGGTGGATATGGTTTTGATATGGAAGCATTCCAATGTTAGCTTAAATATTATTTGTTTGTTTTCAAAAACGCAATGTTTCCTGAGGATACTTGCATGTGCGGGACCTGCTTCGCAAGTTAAGAAACCTATGTTTCGTTCACCCAGTGATTTGTGTAGGATGTACCAAGGGAAGTATCAAGGTGTTGTCCAACCATGCCTAGGGTAAAATCAATCGAAGATTGGTTTGAGAATGTTTTGGGATCAGTATAACTATTTTTGGGGATGGATGCAAAAATCAACCAAAACAGATGACTCAAATTCGCAAATGGAAAGTCAGCCTACCACCCACAAGAGTGGGGACTCAAACCGATTTGACCATAGGCCTGCAAGTGCTTCAAGGCTGTAATCCAAGATGAAGATCATGAATGGCCTCACCAATTCATCATTACATTATGTGTATATATATAATTATATATATATTTAATATAATACAGTATCCATACTGGTGCTGCAGGAAGAATTGCGATTCCTCACAATTTGGCAAATTGGAGGGTCATAGTGATAGCCCTTAAGCCGTCCATCTCAGACATGGTGCTTGAACATCTTTCATTCGCTTGGCCTGTTTGAGTGTTTTTTCTTGGCACAAACCCAACAAGTCTGCGGAACTTGCTTTCCAAAATGCCGTTGGAAGACTCCCAGCGGAGACTGCAGTCATATGACTTGTTTGAATCAGATGTTTATTTTTTTAATGATTTTTGAATGTTTTTGACTATCCAGTGTGTGTAGGAGGGAACAACTGAGCTAAGAAGCTAAGGCTACCCATCTGCCAAAAACATCAACGGAGAGCCACTGCTGAGGTTGTCGAAACGGAAACCCCAAAGCCCAAGGTTTTTCAAAAATGGTCAAAACTAATGAGGTAAAACTCATAAAAACATATATGTAAATGGGTGTAAATGGCCAGAATCTAATGGATTCCATATGGTTTTTCCATGTTTGCCTTGGGTTCCTCTAGGCTACCCGCCAACTTGTCCATCAGCATATCCTTCCCTTTTGGAGAATCATCCCACGAATTGTAGCCGGTTAATAACCTTGATATGGCATCAATGAATCACCACACTGCGGCTATCTCAGTTCTGAATGGGTTATTCAATGTTATTCACCATTTTGATTCACAAAATAATCAACCCCTTTTGGGCAGTTGGTTGCACTAATTTGCACTCACTCTTTCCCCATGTTTGGATTGACTATGACATGGCCAGTTTGGTAGCCGCTGGGTCCCAGGCGGATCTGGGTGGCTCCGACTTTTCCAAGTCGGACCTCACTGGTGCGTCGCTGGAAGGGGCCAACCTGGAAGATGTGAGCTTTGAAAACGTGCCTAGGCTTCGGCCAAGGGGTTGCCACATGCCCACTTGTATGGCCAGTTGAACGATCAAAGCCACAACGGAGTGTAGAAAAAGATATGGGAAGCTTGAACAGCACCAATGGGTCAGCTTAGTTTGCTTGGAAAAATGTGTTTGTGCGTCAGTTCACCTAAAAAAATGCACTTACATCTAGCATGTTTGAAAAAAACGCCCACGGACAATATATGTTTATACTTGTCACCCAAGGATGAACAGAAACACTGGCTATAGAGTGCTATTTTGAGTTTCGGCTTTCAGGATGTAGAGCATGTCAAAGCATATGCGGGATCGCGCGGGGTGGTGGGCAAACATAGGGTTTGCAGTTTGTGGCGAAAGTGTTTCAACATGTTTTACAATCTACCCCAGCGTTGTTTCTTCACGTGGGTGGCTCACTCCGTTTTGAGGGGAGGGAACAGCATATCTGTACACACACACACTTGCTCAGAAACAGCTTATCGAATTATTGATGTGGAATGCATCGTACGTGCAAAAACACTTCAGTTAAACCTGACAGACACTGTGAAAACGGATCCATTTCGTGGCGAAACGGAAAGAATCACCAAAATGATGTGACCACCAGCTTTGCAACAGCATCCAGGTGCGTCACTACGGTTCCTTTTTTCTGGCGAGACGGACAGAATCACCAAATGATGTGACCACCAGCTATGCAACAGCATCCAGGTGCGTCAATACGGTTCCTTTTTCTTGGCGAGACGGACAGAATCACCAAATGATGTGACCACCAGCTATGCAACAGCATCCAGGTGCGTCACTACGGTTCCATTTTATGGCGAGACGGACAGAATCACCAAATGATGTGACCACCAGCTATGCAACAGCATCCAGGTGCATCACTACGGTTCCATTTCGTGGCGAGACGGGTAGAATCACCACGTGCAGGTACAAGATACTGCGTCCAGTATCTCATCCACCAATTGTCCACAGCTTCGGTGGCACGGCTAGGACAAGTGGCGCCGTGCCCCATGCTCTAAATGCATCACTACGGTTCCTATTTCGTGGCGAGACGGACAGAATCACCAAATGATGTGACCACCAGCTATGCAACAGCATCCAGGTGCGTCACTATGGTTCCTTTTTCTTGGCGAGACGGACAGAATCACCAAATGATGTGACCACCAGCTATGCAACAGCATCCAGGTGCGTCACTACGGTTCCATTCCGTGGCGAGACAGAATCACCAAATGATGTGACCACCAGCTATGCAACAGCATCCAGGTGCGTCACTATGGTTCCTTTTTCTTGGCGAGACGGACAGAATCACCAAATGATGTGACCACCAGCTATGCAACAGCATCCAGGTGCGTCACTACGGTTCCTTTCCGTGGCGAGACAGAATCACCAAATGATGTGACCACCAGCTATGCAACAGCATCCACTAGCAGCAAAAGGCGACATCATTAGGTAGAAGTTTTACATCTATTCAGATGTTCCACACACACGCCCCGCAGCAGCGAGGCTTTTTAGTTGTCAGGTGAAAAACGAAAGTCAACAGTTCAAACTATGATGCATCCACAATGACATGCAGTATTCGTGATAAGGCTCAAAGGCCCTCGGTTTTCATTTCAACCCCATCTACGGCTGTCAGTGTTCAACCCCTGAATTACATGCACACTTGAACCTCACCAGACAACCAAAAGGAAGAGACCACACCTGGAAAGCATGTCCTGATGCCTGCCATGCAAAAAAAAAAATTGAGGCCCGAACAGCGGCCAGCTGTTCAACACTAATCGACCGGCAGGTGAGACCCGAAAAAAGGCCAGCGGTTTCACTTTACTTAAACTAATTACTAATTCAAAAGTGTAAATTCCGCATCAAAAAGGTGAAGCCAGGCACGGCGGCACGCAGTTCAACACTTCGACCGACGGGTGAAACACGAAAAAATGGCCAGCAGTTCACTTTACTTAAACGAATTACTAATTCAAACGTGTAAATTCAGACATCGTTTTACCGTCAATTTTTAGCCTAGAAAGGCTTTCCCCGAAGGGCTCATACCACCTTGTCGGACAACGGTATGAGTGACACACTTGCTCAGAAACAGCTTATCGAATTATTGATGTGGAATGCATCGTACGTGCAAAAACACTTCAGTTAAACCTGACAGACACTGTGAAAACGGATCCATTTCGTGGCGAAACGGAAAGAATCACCAAAATGATGTGACCACCAGCTTTGCAACAGCATCCAGGTGCGTCACTACGGTTCCTTTTTTCTGGCGAGACGGACAGAATCACCAAATGATGTGACCACCAGCTATGCAACAGCATCCAGGTGCGTCAATACGGTTCCTTTTTCTTGGCGAGACGGACAGAATCACCAAATGATGTGACCACCAGCTATGCAACAGCATCCAGGTGCGTCACTACGGTTCCATTTTATGGCGAGACGGACAGAATCACCAAATGATGTGACCACCAGCTATGCAACAGCATCCAGGTGCATCACTACGGTTCCATTTCGTGGCGAGACGGGTAGAATCACCACGTGCAGGTACAAGATACTGCGTCCAGTATCTCATCCACCAATTGTCCATAGCTTCGATGGCACGGCTAGGACAAGTGGCGCCGTGCCCCCTGCTCTAAATGCATCACTACGGTTCCTATTTCGTGGCGAGACGGACAGAATCACCAAATGATGTGACCACCAGCTATGCAACAGCATCCAGGTGCGTCACTATGGTTCCTTTTTCTTGGCGAGACGGACAGAATCACCAAATGATGTGACCACCAGCTATGCAACAGCATCCAGGTGCGTCACTACGGTTCCATTCCGTGGCGAGACAGAATCACCAAATGATGTGACCACCAGCTATGCAACAGCATCCAGGTGCGTCACTATGGTTCCTTTTTCTTGGCGAGACGGACAGAATCACCAAATGATGTGACCACCAGCTATGCAACAGCATCCAGGTGCGTCACTACGGTTCCCTTCCGTGGCGAGACAGAATCACCAAATGATGTGACCACCAGCTATGCAACAGCATCCACTAGCAGCAAAAGGCGACATCATTAGGTAGAAGTTTTACATCTATTCAGATGTTCCACACACACACATACACACGCCTGCACCGTCTTGGAACCAATTGTTGCTTTCGGCGTGTTCCCCGAAATTTTATAAAGTCAATTGGGGATTACAAGCTGGTGCCCAGTTGTGTTTGTTGGCTCATCTTACCTCCGTTGACTGTTATATCGCTCCATACATCTACCATAGAAACCCAGCAGTTATTGCACCATCATCCCACCGGCTGGATCATACCTGTTGAAGGTGCTGAGAGGGAGCTCCCAAAAACTTGGCCACATGGCTATGCAATCTTAGGATATCTCAGGTATCCTCCAAGAACACGTGTTTCATAAAGCTGGTTGCTAAACACATGAGGCCCGCAGGATGACATATGATGACATGGACCCCCAGTGTCCACCGAGATGTGGAGAGGGTCACTTTCCAATCTTCCCATCCGAGTCCCAGAATAGGAAGCAAAATTTCCCAACATTGGAAAACAGAACAGTAAAGATCCTGCTATTTTCCGGTTAAGATTTTCCCTTAGAACTTAGAATCATTGGATGATTGTCATTTTTGCCGCTTAAATCCCGTGAAATCCCACCTTTATCCCCCCTATCTTTCCAAGGCCAACTTGGAAGGCGCGTACTTCACCAACACGATCCTCCAGGCGAAGAACTTGAAAGGCGCCATTCTCACTGAGGCCTTGCTGCCCTCGGACGCCATTCAAAAGCTCTGCGAACGTGAAGATGTGTTCCCTGGCCACGGTGTCGGGCCTCGTCTGAGTGTCCCAATTAGTTTACTGACCAAATGGCGGGTAGTGAAAACCCCCGGAATTATCAGTGGGTTTGAGTTTTAAGCAGGATAAGTAGGGGCACTGTCCAAGAATGAGTTATATATTCATTTTCGTTCGCTGGGCTGTGTACTATTTCACAAAGTACATGTATGTTTATTTATATTATATATATATATTTGTCTCCCTCTCTCTCGCTCTTTCTTTCTCTCTCTCTCTCTGGAGCCCTGACTCCATAAATGGTTATAGAACTCATATATATATATAGCTATAGAGGCAACATTCCCAACTTATTAGATCATGTTTACAATTTTGCAATCAATAAACTTCAAGTGCACCCCCAAGAAATAAACGTGAAAATGTGTTTGGCATCAACAACAAGAATTGAATATCGTGTGAACATGCAGCTCCAAAGAATATACTATACCTATGTAACTGCACGCGCCCTCCTGTAATCCAACCATGCCAGGTGAGGCTTCCCATTTCAGGGCTGTGGATCATGGAGGGATAGCTCCCTGGAGCCATTTGAGTAGCCTACTGTAGCAGATGATCATTGCAGGTCACCCCCTAAAATCCGGGTTCAACCAAGACAGTAGCCCCCCAAAAGATATAAAGTATCTATTTGATGCCTTCTGCGTAATTTAACATCGCCATGGAGCATTTGCAATTTCTAGGTGAACTACCTGGTAAACATGGCCTTTAGCCATTGCAATGCTAGATTACCAGAGTGTAAATGTTAAATTTTAAATCACTATTTCATAACCCATCGACAATCAACATCCATCAACCATCATATGTCAATGAGATCCCTATCCTTGCTTAGCTATTTGGTTTGACCTCTCTATGTTTGGAACTGTGATGATTGGTATCCCATTATATCCCCATTAATGTGGAAAACTTCCACCATTTCTAGATCATGTTCCGAACAGGAAACCATGGGTTTTCCACAGTTTTCTTGTGGTTTACCATGGTTTACCTTAGGATAAATCCCCATGTTTGGCGATATTTTCCATAAAAAGCTGGCGTGGTCTTGTTCAGAGGTTGGCGAGTGAGGCGACCAAGGAGTCGATCCCATGCCCTTAGTTGGCTTCGTTCAAGTCACCAGGAAGGACATGTGCCATTTCGGTTGGTTCAAGTAACACTTCGAAACATATGATGAATGATGTAGGTATAGAAATATACAGTATGAAGACTGTAGGTAAAGATATCTATGATGAATATGTAGGTATAGAAATATGTGATGTACATAGGATGAATATATTTTTTAGCATAGACCACTCGGGCAAACATTGACCAGGTTGTGCCATTTTGGTTGGCTATTTTGGAATAGAAGTAACTTCTGGCAAATTAGCATAGACCCTGAAAATAATCATTGCTTACTGGAAACTAATCGTCCAAGCCCTATTTGGCAGGGTCTATGTTAATTTACGGGAGGTATATGTTGACATAGTTTACATCATATGTAGGTCCGAATGAACCGTGGATGGATACTGTGGTACTTTAACCCTTTGCCATAAATGGCACAGTAATGTTTGCGGACCAAAAAAATTTGAGCATGTGGCCAGGGAAGCCATATACTTGTTTCCAATCACCAGAAGGGCACGTACTAAAATATTGTTTTTGTGTGGTAAGTCTCGGGATAAACTCCAACAGGTTCTAGCTTGATATGGCTTGACAACGGTGAAACCGGTATGCAATTTGGTATGATTTTGGGTGCGTGTCAAAATCCATACAACATCATACAACGTGGTATACCTCGTATGAACAGGAATCGGAATCCTCGGAAGTCAAGATATTTACAATCCACTTATTCGGAGCAAGAGGAAAACGGGTGGAGATAAGTTTTCCTCAAAATCCATTTTTTTGCTGATGTCATTTCTGGTACCTTTCCTCAATCATCCCTAAAAATGGCCACGTTGGTGTTTCATGCCAAGTCGAGAAGAAAAACGCCGCTGGTGGTGGGGCGCTGGCTCCAGGGGTCAAAATCCTAAATCTCCAAACCCTTTTGGGGTAGATTCTCGTAATCAAACCTGGAAATGGACAGCTTTTCCCAATGTTTATTTGTTGATGTTAACCTTGCATTTGAATACATGCCCCGGCTGTTATCAGATGATCGCCGGGGAACCACCCTAATTTAAGTCGGTTGACATTCGATGAGTTTCCCAAATCAACTTTGGCAGAGTCCATGAGTGAAAATTCCATGAGCTGAGCAACCATATTTTTCTGCATCTACAAGTGTTCAGCCCTACTTGAGATACCCTTTGGTGTTTTCACATAGTTGTGGAAAAAGGCCCACTGATAGATGAATTATTTATATTAAAGAACAACTCAAAATCATGATTTTACATAGAGTATATAGTGATTTTAAACCGGTAATACTTGTGGGACGAGGTGAAACAACAAAATCCGTTTAAGTTTTATGAGCAATTTGGCGTTTCATCCAGGTCACTGCTGGAATTTCGTTGACCAGGTCTGTGCAGTAAGTCATCATTAAACTATATTAGACTAGAAATCTTAAATCAGCCAAATCACCGTGCACCCATCATTCTACAGTACGATTTCAACCAAGATATGATACTGTATTTTTTCCAATATACAGTAGATGTTCTTGTTCCACTCCACTACTGACTGTTTCGAACCAGCACAGTCAGCCGTCGCAGGTGCACGCGTTGACTGAGAAAGAACAGTCATATCTACCCGAGCAGTTCCCACCTGGGGTTTGTCGAGTCATGGGTGAAAACAAGCACACCCAGATAGCTGGAATAGATGGCCCAATTGTAAGTTGTTACATAGCTATGGCATACATGGCCAATGCAAAAGATCGTTTGTTTGTTAAAGATGGTGAGTTTTTTCCATTGATAGTTTGCTTATAGGAGGTATATGAAATTATGAGGACGTTTATCCTCTCAAAATATGGAACTTGTGGCTTTTGACCCATCCCAATATCTGATACTTTTGGATAAGGGGGAGATCACATCCCAAGATTACAAATGCCAATGGGCCACCGAGAACCACCACCAATCAGGTCGAATCTTTTATATCGATTTGCCATTTGTGGGGTTACCTGACAAATAAGTTCAATTCAAATATCGTTGCCATTGTTGTTCCACCGACCTTCATCACTAGGCCAACGATTACCCTCTAGTAAATTAACATAGACCCTGCCAGATAAGGGTTGGAAGATTGTTGATTATTTTCAGGTTCGATGTTAATTTGCAAGAGGGTAGATTTATGGTATCCTGGCATGTCCAACTAGTTATATAGTTATATTATATAGATGTTTTTTCTTCACTAACGCAGCTGGGGTGGGATAACCACCCGTTTGTCATCTTCCGAGCCATGCTGGTCCCACTTTTACTGGTGAAGTCCCCGTTTTTGGTCGAGAAAGCTATCGGCACAGGTATTTCTTGGTGAAACAGCTCAAGGGCTGGCGACACATTGAAGTGTCCTGGAATTGCGAGGCCAGGCGGCCAGAGGAACCCTTTAGCTATACCCGGCTTGGTGGTTCACCCCAGTCAGTAAGTGGGTTATAACATGTTATAACCCCACTCCTAAGTAGGGTCACTAGGCTGAGTCAAGTTATAACACTATTCTAACTGGGTTCACAACCCACTTATTAAGTTGGGCGAACCAAGACTTGCAAGCAAACATGGCAACCTAAAATCTTATATATCAATTTATCAATATTTATCATTTATAGATCATTTTTCAATTTGTTTTTTCCCTTCGGCCCACTATATATATATTGTTTTTATATTATATAACCCCCCCTTTGCACGGGATTTCCATTGCCATGTTTGATTGCCGGAGGTACGGTGAGAAGTATAACTGGGATTAGCGGGTGTCAATCCATTACATACCTTTCTGCGAAGGGCCAGGGTAAAGCACCCAGTTGCTAACCAAATTTTGCCGTTAATCCTATGTCCTACGATTACCCAAGTATCCGAGTCCGAGAACCTTCCATTGTTTAGTTCTCCAAATTGCCAAAATCACATCCTGAATGGCAAAAACTTTGGTTTTTGTTGGGTGTTCCCTTCAATCTGTCCAGTGATGACCCCAAGATAAGAATCTGTATCAACCCGCTGGCGGAATCGACGGAATGTTGGCGATAGCCATGGATTTCCCACATGTTCTTCGAACATTGAGTTCCATGCAACAAGGGGTTCCCAGGATAGTCCGTTGCTTCAAAGAGGCTAAGCCCGGCATTATCCTTTGATATCATGTGTCAATCAAACATAGCAATGGACAATTCCTGATTTATATTGATTTATAGGGCAGATTCCCATTAAACCTCCATTGATTGATTTGCCAGCAAACCATGTTTGATTACCAGAGGGCATTCTGAAGAATCAAGATGTGGTATGGGCATGGGCGCGTTGGAGTACCAAGAGAGGTCCCACATCTCGAGCTCCACACGGGGGGATCACATTTCCACAGACGGTATGACCTTCTGCGTGGTATCCACGATTTCCGTGCTTAAATTCCCCCTTTACGACCTCTTTGGTGGCCTAAAACTCCAATTTTATCCATTTGTTGGGTATGAAATTGCTGCTGAAATCCGATTATGACTATATACATACTATATACCATGTATATTCCATATGGTGGGTTAAACTGGCGAAATCCCAATTTTGGGGTTCTGGCACGTTTTGGGCCGTGCCTTGATTCCCACCAGGTGACCGCCGAATGGTTCATTCAGTCGGTACACAGAAACAATCGAAGGCGCGTAACAAGAGGATAGGTTTGTGACCAAAAAATGCTAAACAATGCTATAGACATACTGAATCTCAAGAAGAAATTTATGTATTGCAAAGATGCAAATGTTATAGAAACATTACAAAGTTCAAACATATATATATATATGATTAACCTTAGATATTTTTTTTAACTATATAGAACCGATAGTACTGGAAGGTGTACGTCAGGGGTTCAGTTGACTTTACTTGTAGCCAATATATGGCACCACCTACAAGCCTTGGCCACCAGCAGATATGTGCATGTGAACAGGGTCAATCTCAACCCCAGAACAGAATGCCCGAGCATATCAATGCGCTAAATTGGAGGTACTTACTATACATAAGGCCTATGTAAGCGCTATGAAGGGTACATGCCACCAAAATGAGCCTTTATATGGTACAGTACCTCCATTTTAGGATCCTGGAATTCCTGTTGAGCACACGAGGAAAACAAGTAATTTTATTGAGATATGATGGTAATACACAGTATCCAGGGAGTATAATATAACATAATATTATAACCCACAAATTTAATGAGGATAGAATGTGATACATAACCTAGATCTGTTGGTGTATTTGAAAATGGGATAGAACCCCGGAGAAAAAAAAAAGCGGGGAACATGACATCTTCAACCATTGGATTAGGTGCCAAACCTTTCTGGGGCTAAAACGACGTGTCGGGATGATTCGCTGGGCACCAATGGACCAGACTTGCTGTTGTGTAGGATTGTCCATTTCTGAATATTTTTGACCAATACATGCTATACATACCATGGATGCCCATTGCTGGTGACTTGAAATAGTGTTTGGTTTTGATTCTATCAACCTATCAGATGATCACTCTGCCCTTTTTCTTCGACTCCAACGTGAGATTCGTTTCTTTGATGCCAGTAGTCTGCGTGCTTTTTGAGTGCTGAACCGCCCGCCGAGAGTTTGAACAACATACGATTTTCTGTTGAGGACACCACCAACCACGGGATTTTTTAGCATTCACCGTGTGTTCGTCAAGTCGGAACATAATAGCCTGCTCTCAGGCTAGCCGGTCAACACCCATCACTGTTGAAGACCAGGTTATGCAGCTTCAAATCCCCACGTTGACAAAACGCAAACCATCCAGGTGCAATCCCTGTTGATCGAAATAAATTCCAGTCATTCTGGGCAAAATCCCCAACTATCAGATCAGCAGTGAAACTCCAATTCTTGATGATTAATAAGGGGCAAATCCCAAGTTCCCATTCTCAAATCCCAATTTGCATTGCTTAAATAAGCTTAGTCCCAATTTTCCTTACTAACATCACTTGTTTGAGTTGTAGAGCCAAACTTTGTTTGATACCTCATTTAGCTTCACTGTTTTTTCACTGCAAAATATCTTTTGGCCGGTGGTTTCACCAGCGTTTTTTTTGGTTGCCAGGAACAAGGCCGACAAGGCCCTCAAGGCGGTGGAGGTTCTGCGAGCGGAGATGCCCGACGATTGGTGGGCCCTTGGCTCTGAGGACTCCCAGGGCATCCCAGGGCATCCGGCGGCGGGATGATCTGCCGAATGAGATGGGAATTGTCCATGGTGTTCCACTGGTTCCACTGGCTGAGTTGAAGAAAATTACTAAACGTGACACACCAAAAGTCACGATGAATGGAAGTTAAAGCAACAGAAACGGAAGTTGAACAAGTCAGAAATGGAGGTTTCATTGGTTTAAACCACAAGAGGAGATTTAAGTATGTCAAAATTTCAGGGTGGGATGGCGAGGAGAATTAATCTGGACAGCCCACTATGGTTTAACTGTGGAACATTTGGATGAGTTGAAAGATTCCAAGTTTCCAAGGGACAATTGGGAAGGATTAGCTGTGTAGACCAAAATCATCCACTTTGTGGATCCGTTGTAGCACATTGGTACCCTCTTCTTTTTAAAGCCATAACTATATAGACACCAACAATGAACAAATTCAAACAAATTCAATACATTTCACTATTAGCCATGTCTTCTGCGAATCATCCATGAACAGTTGCATCGTTGATCATTTCACCTGTTTTTATGGTGTCAAATATCAGCTGAAATGGTGGTTAGATAGCGCTTGATTGGCGGCCCCTCATGTGATACTTTCAGCGGAAATGCACGGAAACCAAAGGTGGTGAGTGGTGATGACCTTGTAATAGTGTTGCATTTCGTCCAGTGATGGTGCAATGGGCTTTCTTTTTTGCCAATTGCAAATCCGTGCCAAGTCAGACTTGCTTGAAAGCCGAACAGAAACACGGTTTTGGCGACTCAGCAAGTACCAACATGTAATGTTGGGTTGGATGTCAGGGTCGTCCACCATTCAGAAACCACCGAGTTGCCGATTAACAGGAGCAACTTGGGAATCGCGTTGGGATGTGCTGAGCTTGGCTGAGTTTGGTGCACTGGATATTTGTTGAAGCCACAAAGGTGACTGGTAACTGGTAACCCCTGACTCGCATCTCAGTTTAAACATCGTAAACATATGATGAAATCCCGACTAGAATTTCTGAATTGCTGTGTGGGTGCGATGGGCGAGACCAACATGTTTGCGTCAACGCTCTGAACGGCAACGCCCTTTTTGAATACCCTCAAGTTGGAAGGTTCTAGAATGCCCCCCCCTGGGGATAAACACGGAGGGTTCTAGAATGAAACTTTTTCATTGTAGAACCTCCGGTCCCGTAAGCATTGTAGAACCTTGGAAGCTTCTATAATAGCATATGATGATATATGGTGCAGGTTTTGTGCAGGTATTTGTGATCCCTAGTGAGCCGGTGATTGAAAGCAATTTGCCAGTTTGATCCTCCTGTTGAAACTATGGTTTTGGTGATGTGCAAGGTTCGATTGCACTATGTCGCAACAATATTGCCGAACCAATGCCATTCGGCACAAAAACCCAGAAGGATTATATACAGATACACGGTAGAAAAATTGACAAAATCACAATTCAGTTTGTTTCTTGATCTCAGTACATGGTAAGAACATTTCTGACTGGGGGAACTTGTGGGTTCAGCTCAGTTTTGAAGTGGTTAGCTGTACCTTTACCTTTGCATTCACCCCAACAATGCATGGTTTTTTGAGTTTATTTTTTGCATGTTTGCCTCTTTTGCCGTCACCTGAGGCACACATAAAGTGGCTTTTGCATGTTGTGTCACAAGAGGCTGCAAAATCCCGCGTCGAAAATGTACGTGCATTTGCTAGAGATTTGCATGCATTTGGGCTGTTCTTTTGATTTAATTCCGAAAAGGCGTGGGCCAAATATTGTCTAGCTCCACATCTCTGAACGAAAGGGCCAATAGGTGAAGTGAGCGGCAAATTGGTAGGTAGAAAATTGCCCCACTGGAAACAGCTGTAGTGGCACACAAACGAATTTCAGGGATAATCAAGTCAGCTAGGACTGTGCCTGCCATCTTTTGTTCTACAAGTAGAATGCCTGTGCAACAAATGAACATATATAAGCTATCCAAGCTATCTAAGCATACAAATGTTCTAAAACGGTTTCCCCTTGCAGTAGCTGGTATTTCACACGTTTGGCCAAGCAGGAAACCATTCCAGAACCCTTCCCAAAGATAAATACCTCCAGGGGTAGGTAGGCAGGTACAACCCAATGCTAATGAATTTCAGTGATAATCAAGTTAGCTAAAGCTGGTTCTGCCATCTTTTGCTCTTCTACAAGTAGACGAATGCCTCTGCAACAAATGAACAAATGAAAGTTACCTAAGCATGCAAATGTTCTAAAATGGTTTCCCCTTGCAGTAGCTGGTATTTCACACGCTTGGCCAAGCAGGAAACCATTCCAGAACCCTTCCCAAAGATAAATACCTCCAGGGGTAGGTAGGCAGGTACAACCCAATGCTAATGAATTTCAGTGATAATCAAGTCAGCTAAAAGCTGGTTCTGCCATCTTTTGTTCTTCTACAAGTAGAAGAATGCCTCTGCAACAAATGAACAAATGAAAGTTACCTAAGCATGCAAATGTTCTAAAATGGTTTCCCCTTGCAGTAGCTGGTATTTCACACGCTTGGCCAAGCAGGAAACCATTCCAGAACCCTTCCCAAAGATAAATACCTCCAGGGGTAGGTAGGCAGGTACAACCCAATGCTAATGAATTTCAGTGATAATCAAGTCAGCTAAACTGTTTCTGCCATCTTTTGTTCTTCTACAAGTAGACGAATGCCTGTGCAACAAATGAACAAATGAAAGTTACCTAAGCATGCAAATGTTCTAAAATGGTTTCCCCTTGCAGTAGCTGGTATTTCACACGCTTGGCCAAGCAGGAAACCATTCCAGAACCCTTCCCAAAGATAAATACCTCCAGGGGTAGGTAGGCAGGTACAACCCAATGCTAATGAATTTCAGTGATAATCAAGTCAGCTAAAACTGTTTCTGCCATCTTTTGTTCTTCTACAAGTAGACGAATGCCTGTGCAACAAATGAACAAATGAAAGTTACCTAAGCATGCAAATGTTCTAAAATGGTTTCCCCTTGCAGTAGCTGGTATTTCACACGTTTGGCCAAGCAGGAAACCATTCCAGAACCCTTCCCAAAGATAAATACTTCCAGGGGTAGGTAGGCAGGTGCAACCCAATTCTAATGAATTTCAGTGACAATCAAGTCAGCTAAAACTGTTTCTGCCATCTTTTGTTCTTCTACAAGTAGACGAATGCCTGTGCAACAAATGAACAAATGAAAGTTACCTAAGCATGCAAATGTTCTAAAATGGTTTCCCCTTGCAGTAGCTGGTATTTCACACGTTTGGCCAAGCAGGAAACCATTCCAGAACCCTTCCCAAAGATAAATACCTCCAGGGGTAGGTAGGCAGGTACAACCCAATGCTAATGAATTTCAGTGATAATCAAGTCAGCTAAAAACTGTTTCTGCCATCTTTTGTTCTTCTACAAGTAGACGAATGCCTGTGCAACAAACGAACAAATGAAAGTTACCTAAGCATGCAAATGTTCTAAAATGGTTTCCCCTTGCAGTAGCTGGTATTTCACACGTTTGGCCAAGCAGGAAACCATTCCAGAACCCTTCCCAAAGATAAATACCTCCAGGGGTAGGTAGGCAGGTACAACCCAATGCTAATGAATTTCAGTGATAATCAAGTCAGCTAAAACTGTTTCTGCCATCTTTTGTTCTTCTACAAGTAGACGAATGCCTGTGCAACAAATGAACAAATGAAAGTTACCTAAGCATACAACAGTTCTAAAATGGTTTCCCCTTGCAGTAGCTGGTATTTCACACGTTTGGCCAAGCAGGAAACCATTCCAGAACCCTTCCCAAAGATAAATACCTCCAGGGGTAGGTAGGCAGGTACAACCCAATGCCAATGAATTTCAGTGATAATCAAGTCAGCTAAAAACTGTTTCTGCCATCTTTTGTTCTTCTACAAGTAGACGAATGCCTGTGCAACAAATGAACAAATGAAAGTTATCTAAGCATGCAAATGTTCTAAAATGGTTTCCCCTTGCAGTAGCTGGTATTTCACACGTTTGGCCAAGCAGGAAACCATTCCAGAACCCTTCCCAAAGATAAATCCTCAAGGTGCATTGTCTAGGGTGACATCTCTGTGTCATAGCTGCCCAGCCCCCCCAAATATCCCAAAAGAACAAATGTCCAATCAGTGGCGTCCTGATGAAGGTAGGCAAACTTACCATTTTTTAAGTGACAGCTGGACAGCTGTAGTTCGACACACACCTGCTTGCTGATTCCGCATGTGATGATTTGTTCCTTGTTTTTCTCCTTTGACGCAAAAACATTATTGTTTTGAAAACACTGCATGTAGGAGTTTGCTGTTTTATTGAAAATTTATCTGGTTGGACATGTCTGCATAAAATTAAACAAACAGTCGCACGGGAAATGGAACGAGTCCACAACTAAATTCGTTTGAAAAGGGGTGACTTAGGGGACATTCTGAAAGCATTTGGGTTTGGGTGTACTTTAATGGTTTGGCAAGAAAGGAAGCAAAGAGCGCGGGCAAAAACCTGGCTCCATAGGTAGTAAATGATACGACCATCTGTGGCCGGGCCGTCACCCATTGAAAAATGTTGTGGAGTATCATGGAGTGCTCTTTGCAGTTTTTTTTTGATTCGCCTCATGTTGATCTATTTTTTGGGGGCGCAGATTTCCTCATCGTTTTTTCCTGAAATGCGATGGTTTCAACAAGGTTTCTTTTGATGTTTTTTTATTTTTTTTAAGGGTGGAAGATACCATTTTAGAACCCATTTTAGAACCCAAAAACGGAATAGCGGCCAAGAATTTTAGGTTCTAAGACCCCCCTTGTAGATTCCATTTTAGAACCCATATTTGGGTTCTAAAATGGTCCCCAAGGGGGTTCGAAGCAACTTGAGAGGATCTTTTTGACATGCTTCTCTCATGTCAACGCCCTGCACCGAAAGGACGTCAATGCTTTTAATTTGAACTCTGAGCCAACAGTCTTTGAATGCGTTCACTGCATCAAGGCTCTGAACTTCAAGCCAGTATTTTCTCCGTAAACATATTCATTATGTATTGTGTCAACGCTCTGAACTGCAAGACCAAAAGTTGTTCGTTTTTGGTTTCTATGCGTTTTACGGTGTCAAGCTCTGAACGCAGACCAATATATTCGTAAATGTCCTTCTTTGTGTCAATTCTTTGGACTGCAAGACAAACAATTGTTTTTACGCGTGTTGACCGTGACATTGTGCCCTGAACGCGACCATAATTACTGTATTGGTTTTTTGATACCGTTTTTCGTTGCGTCAACGCTTTGGTGGACTGCAAGACCCTATATATAGTTGTTTTGTTGTGTGTTTTCGTTGCGTCAACGCTTTGGACTGCAAGACCCTCTTGTTGTTTTGTGCGTTTTCGTTGCGTCAACTTGCGTCAACGCTTTGGACTGCAAGACCCTATATAGTTGTTTTGTTGTGCGTTTTCGTTGCGTCAACGCTTTGGACTGCAAGGCTCTACCTGGGCCTTCCAACTCCTAAAAAATATCAGTCGTTTTGCACAATCAGGCGTTTCATTAAATTTATGGTCGTATCGAGCGTTTCCCCAAAAAGTTAGACGTGGTATGTCATGGCTGTGTTTCCCATCGGCATGGCCCTGTCTTCTCACCAGTATTTTGCTTTCAAAATTTGGAGCCGCACGCCCAAGTTGGTTTCTGTTTAATTGCGCGCTCCCAAAATTATACAAATTACCAGATTCTTGGATTTGTTATACAAATTTACCAGATTCTTGGATTTGCGGGCGTTTCCTGGTTTTTGCGGGCGTTTTGCGGTTTTTTGCGGGCGGTTTGCGGGAGTTATGTGCATTTATATGCGTTGGTGCTCGGGATATGAGAATGGCCTGGTATGTCTTTGGGATGCAGCCAGGATGCAAGCCATGTTCAGTCATATTCAAAAAATGTCAATTATGGTGATAGTGTGGCCACTAGGAAGCAAAACCAGGCAAACTAGTAGAATTAGAAGAGATTCTGAAAACTGGGTCGTTTTAGGTCATACTCCAAAACTACCAAAAATCATTGATCGAAGGACTGTTCAAGTAGTTGTTTTTTGTGCGTTTTCGTTGCGTCAACGCTTTGGACTGCAAGACCCTAGTTGCTTTGTTGTGCGTTTTCGTTGCGTCAACGCTTTGGACTGCAAGACCCTATATTTGTTTTGTTGTGCGTTTTCGTTGCGTCAACGATTTGGACTGCAAGACCCTAGTTGCTTTGTTGTGCGTTTTCATTGCGTCAACGCTTTGGACTGCAAGACCCTATAGTTGTTTTGTTGTGCGTTTTCGTTGCGTCAACGATTTGGACTGCAAGACCCTAGTTGTTTTTTTGTGCGTTTTCGTTGCGTCAACGCTTTGGACTGCAAGACCCTAGTTGTTTTGTTGTGCGTTTTCGTTATGTCAACGCTTTGGACCCTATAATTGTTTTGTTGTGCATTGTGTCAAGGCTCTGAACTGCAAAACCACGTTTTGTGCATGATTTCACCGCGTCCGTCAACGCTTTGTCATTGAACTGCTAGGCCAGAAATTGCTTTGTTATGCTTTTTTATTTGCGTCAAAGTGTGCTTATCTGCAAGACCCAGATGTTCGGAAACATGTTCATTGTGTCAATGCTCTAGGCTGCAATACCACGGTTTTTGCATGTTTTTGCATGATTTCATCATGTCTACGCTCTGAGCTGCAAGGTCGAGATGCTTAGACGTGTTTCACTGTGTCATTGCTTTTGTTGTGACGCTCTGGCTTTTCACTGTGTCAATGCTTTTTTCTTCTAGCCAACCTAAGGTGAGGGTAGCCGCACCGGCCCTTAGCAAGCGACCTCATTCTTATTTTGCCCAAGGTTCCATTTCAGTGGGACCTGGCTGTACCCATGGTGCAAAGCCCAGTTGGATGGTTTTTTGGTCGGGGGCAATGGCCCCTGTCACAGAGAAAACGCAATTTCAGTATTTTCAGTTCATGCTGAAAAATATTCCTTTAATGATGCCAATTACCACCAAGTACCCATACCCATACCACCAATAAATGGCCACAAAAACCGTAGATCCCGAAGCCAGGATCAAAGTAAGGTTGTGACTATTCGTTGAACTTGGGTTTAAGGTGTTTGTTGAAGTGGTTTCTGCACGATTCCAATGTTAGAACTGCATGGTTTTCATGCCAATAAACAATGACCCGAATGTAGTTTTTGTTGTTGGTGTGAATGGGTTCTTACATGTGTGGGTGCCGAGTCAGCAGCAAGAATTTGGAATTGCAGAAATGGAATTTTCAAAACGATCATTTTTAATTTTCCAAGACAATCCACAACAGTCATTTGTTTGGCGTTTGCTGTGGGTTTTCGAGAGGTTCAGCACCAATTTGGTTGCCGAAAGTGAAAGCAGAGATCAATGTTTGTTGGTTGGATTTTATTTGTGAGAGGTTCCATGTGAATTTCAGGAAAAACAAGATCTTCCGACTTTGTTTTCGGGTTTCGCGGCATGTGTGTTCGGCATTCCATTAAGATAACATAAGATAAAATATATGTGGAAAATCCACCAAACATGTAGATATGTTTTTCGATGGTTTTCGTGACGAATCATGGTTGTGTTCCCATGTTTTCCGTTTTCGTTTGTGTTGGCTTACCCAAGACGCCCAGTCATGTTGACCCATTCCCATTCCTCCACCACAGAGCGAGACCGTCGCTGAGGTGGTACTCTCATTTGCCGCCCCTTGAAGCAATGAAAATGATCAAGGAACAATACAAATTCCGAGACGCCCGTGGCAACTGGGCCTGGACAGACGTTTGGTTTTCTTCGAAAATATGGTATTCACCACAACATTTTGAACGTTAAAACTAGAGAATGTGAAGAATGTGAAGAATGTGAACTGAGAAATTCAGGGGCTTAACATCATTTCAAACATTTGCCACACGAACATGTCGCTGTAAAACTACCCCTCATGTTTACACAAACATAGCACGCCATGTTTTTGACAAGCGGTTTGGGGTATAGCTTGGAATATTGACAACCCAAAAATGCGATTTCGGCCAGTGTACATAGAACATGTCATTTGTACAAGCAGCAAAAATGACAAACCAACTTAGCTAATTAGTTAACAACAATACAAAAATCAACAATAACGCATTATACAAACCCATTTGGTTATTAAATCCCCCCTTGTGCTGGTTCACGGCCTGGGGATTTTCACCTTTCAATATGACTATGAGCGGAGCGAGACTTTGATCGTTGAATATGTTGATGGTTGATTGATTGGGAAAACCAGCGGGGTATTCACCTAGCTGGTGTATCGATGTTTATTGATGTTTTTGAAGTTTTTTTGGAGACTATTGATGTTTATTGATGTTCATAGGCTACAATTTGGTTTATAAACCCATGATCTAGTTCGTTATCTACAACCAAGGTATGTGCGTCAACTGAGCTATTAAGGGGCCTCACCTTTTATCATATAAAATGCAACCCAAAAACAAAACCCTGATGGCCCGTGCCCAGGTATGATGGCCTTAGCTGTTTTCGATTGGCTGAGTGCCCTACAGGAGTCGGCTTTTCGTCGGCCGATGGACGGGCGATCTGAGAAATCCCATGACTTCAAGTCGTGAGCGAAGCCAAAACCGAGCTGTTCGGATTAGTGAAGTACTATGAGTTGGCGGGAATTGAATATTGGTTAGTAATGGTTAATAATGGCCAAATATGGCCAATGGCGGTTAATGGTTAGTAATTTAGTGGTTAAGGACTATTAAAAGTCTAATTAAAACTAATAATAATAGTAATAATGGGTACTATGATATGAAACAGCTAGCAACAACGCTGGCGGGCTGAACTCCTTCTTGTCACTGGACATCACTGGACCTTACTTGCCTTTAGCCTTTGGTTAGACTCCTGGAGATGGCGATGGAGAGAGAGAATAGTTATACACTGTGACTCATGTTTTATAATTGATACAAGGTGAGGCTCCCAAACGATTGCTAAGTTGACGCGCATAACTTTGTGAACTATGGTTGGTTCGGGGGATATGATATAACTATACTTCATGGGTTGTGTAAACCAACTGACTACTTAGAGGCCTCACTTCCTAAACTGGCCCAACTATGTGTGATTCCCCCATTAAAGCATGGTTTCTGGGGGCTGTTTCGCTTGTTTTGATATGACCTTGGGATGGTCCATGGGCAGCAAAAATGTCATCTCTGCCCGGAATTAAAATTCCACCTGTTCAGATCCACAAGGTCCACAAGTTTTTTTTCCATAGAAATTATGTCTAAAAAACACAATCAAGAGGTGGGACGCAGACTGTGACAATGACAGATAATCCCATTGTTTAGGGTAGCCAGGCTGCAGGTCACCCCAGGTAGTGCCAACTACCAATCCCAGCCATGTTGGGTTTGATAACAATGGGTGGTGATCATTTACCTATTCAAGTAGCCATTTGTGTTTACGAACTATTTCCAGAAACCCACGAATGCCTGTGGATCATTAAATCTCCATGTCTGCAGACTGGTGACATGGAGGGTACCTTAAGAAAAGGTTCCAGGGGTACCTGTAACGTGCTGGATTTTTTTGTGTGGGATGTTTTTTTCAGGATGTTTATTCTAGACCGGTTGAAAAAAAGGGTCTGGCCTGGACGTAGGCATTTTGCAGTATCTTTATGAATTTTAACTATGTATTTATTGAATATATGGCACATAATGACATTCACGCCCGCCATGTTGTGATTATGGAATATTGTGGAACAAAAAATATTGAGGCAACATTCTTGAACATAGTTACAGTTACAACATAAACTGTAGGAGAGTTTATGATTTGGGATGCTTTCCATCACTGCTGTCAAAGCACTATTGGGACAGCTGAGAAGTATTCAAAAACCGTGCGGGAAACCATGTTCGGCCAGCTGACATTTTTTGAAACACTTGTGATGAAAAAGGCCAATTAGGAGATATTGCGCTGACGTTTTGAAACACTACAGTATGTTTTTAAAAAAACTTTTTATATTTGAAAGGTTTTAAATGTCTGCTGGTTCGAAGATGCTCCAAGATATTGGCGTGTGCTAGTGGTTTCATAGTGGGTTTTGTTATGTGTGGCAGATTTATAATGGTTTATTTGATTGGTTTTGTTTCTTGAAAGGACGGCGCCTCCCCCGGAGAAAGGGGTCACTTATGGACCATCTTTGAAAGATTCCTGGGGTATGGGACTTCCAAAGGATTGGCTGAATATTTGAGGGGTCTTTAGACCTCTGCCAAAATGGTTTGTGTTAATGATGTTTATATAATGGGTTTCCCATTTTTTCGCAGTTTTTTTCTAGCTAATTGGATCTGCTATGTTTTTGGATTTGTTTTTGAAGAAGATTCGCTGAATACTGAAACCGAAAGGGGTCTTAGGATGTTTTTGGTGACCTTTTTGTGGCGCAAGCGCACGCGGCTCACGGACTTGAGTTTTTTGAACACTATAAGCCCCGTGCTTTGTCCAATTTGGGATGGCGTGAAGTTGAACCTCTATTTGGGATGGCGTGGGCTCAAAGTTCGGCCTGAGTTGACTACTTGGGTCTACGGAGCTTGGTGTGGACATCTTTGCAGTCAAGCTGAGCTTGATGGGAACTAAGCGGTCGACGGTGCTGGTTCTGTGGCTTGAGCACTGACCCCACGGCACATCATGCGCTGTGGGAATGTACGAGATCCTATGCCGATCCTATGCGTTCGCACGCATTCAACCAATCCATCGCCGAGCTTTGACGAGATCAACCGCCGTCTTGCTGAACGGCGCCGACAGGAAATGTAGATTCACCTCTACTTCCTGCAGAAAGTCTTTCAACAACCTACCAACCTACTATGAGTTTTTGGAACATCTTTGACACGACGTGGGAGGGTCTAAGGAATCTTTTCAAACAGAAAAGATTCCTGAGGACATTGAGGTCTAGTTGTTTTTTAAAAAATCAGATGGAGGTATGGTGGAATCTTTTGGAACAGATTCTGGAGGGTCTGCACGGTGGGGGATCTCTGGGGACCCCACCATTTGGTGACAAATCCAAACCCTTCAGAATCATGGAGCGGCACTTCCAAGATGTGTCAAAACAGCAACAAATATCAAAATCGTATTGGCATCATATCAGATACCCTCTGGTACCCTAACATAGCCATGCCAAATGCGCATTTATATGCATTTATCGATGATTTAATTATTGGACATTGTTATTTTCCGTAGCCTATGTTTAATTACCGGAGGGTAAGGTTGAGAGATTTCAAACACTTGGCTATAAGGAGAAAAAAATACGCGTATTTGAGAGCTAAACTAAATGTTTTATTCAATATAGATGGTCCCTTCAACAAACATTGACTACTGGTTCGCCAACACGCATCCTAGTGAACAAGCATGACCATTGCAATTTCCCGCTGTTGATGGAAAAATAATCTACACGCCATGTATTTCTATTGCCAGCTTGGCTTGCATGATGCATGGATTGGTTTGCGGCATCGCACTAAGAAGTTGTTTGGCTGATGGTTTCCTCCTTATCATCCTAGTTTGTTTTCCATAGTCATTGGGGGTAGCCCCCAAGCGTTGGGTTTTTCATGGACAGCTGCGTATGTGGGATGAACCAGGAGCTCCGAAAGTGCGAGTCCTTCCAACCAGAGCAGGCCTTTTTGTGGCTGACAAGGTGATCCCTAGATCCATGGGGAAATGTGGTACTCCCCTTGCATCATCAAGTCGTCATGGATAACCATGACTTAGTATTGAAAGGCATGGTGACGACTGATCCCCGGAAGTAGGAAACCCCCAAATCTGAATGAATCCAGTGATTTTATCCGTGGTTTTTTGCATGAATCTGCATTGATCTGAAATTTTGGAATTAGGGTTAGAAGGCACTTGCAGCCACACACTGGGGTACATGAAAATAATTATTTTGTCGTTTGCATTGTCATTTTTTTGTCATTTGCTTTTGTCGTTTTTTTTGTCCTGTCATTTGTCCCTGTCATTTTTCTGTCATTTTTTGTCATTTTTTTGTTGTTTTTTGTTTTGGTCCTGTCCCTTGTCCCTGTCATTTTTTTGTCATTTTTTGTCATTTTTCTATCATTTTCCTATCATTTTCTACAATTTTTGATGATTTTCTTTAATTGTTCGAATTTTTTCTAATTTTCTAGCATGAAATCAATAAATCCATTGAGAAAGTGAAGAAAACAGTTGAAAAAATGAGAAATTCAAAGAAAACTATTCAAAAAATGAAAGAAGCCAATGAAAAAATTAAAGAGAAACAAAGAAAACAAATGAAAAAGTGAAGAAATCAAAGAAAACCAGTGAAAAATGAAGAAAACCAATAGACAATTGAAGAAAATCAAGGAAAACCGGAAAACCATTGAAAAATTAGAAAAATACAGGAAAAGCATGAAAAAATGAAGGAAATCAATGAAAAACGACAAAAAAATGACCAAAAAATGACAAAGTTTCATGAACCAGAAAAAAAATGAAAATTGTTAAAAACCTTGGGTTTTTATCATGTTTTTGTCATTTTTCTGTCATTTTTCTATCATTTTCCTATCATTTTCTACAATTTTTGATGTTATTCTTTAATTTTTCGAAATTTTCTTTAATTTTCTAGCATGAAATCAATAAATCCATTGAACAAGTGAAGAAAACAATTGGAAAAATTATAAATTCAAAGAAAACTATTCAAAAAATGAAGGAAACCAATGAAAAAATGAAGAGAAGCAACGAAAACAAATGAAAAAAGTAAAGAAATCAAAGAAAACCAGTGAAAAATGAAGAAAACCAATAGAAAATTGAAGAAAATCAAGGAAAACCATTGAAAAATTAGAAAAATACAGGAAAAGCATGAAAAAATGGAGGAAATCAATCAAAAACGCCAAAAAAATGACAAAGTTTCATGAACCAGAAAAAAATTGAAAATTGTTAAAAACCTTGGGTTTTTATCATGTTTTTGTCATTTTTCTGTCATTTTTCTATCATTTTCCTATCATTTTCTACAATTTTTGATGATTTTCTTCAATTGTTCGATTTTTTTCTAATTTTCTAGCATGAAATCAATAAATCCATTGAGAAAGTGAAGAAAACAGTTGAAAAAATGAGAAATTCAAAGAACACTATTCAAAAAATGAAAGAAGCCAATGAAAAAATTAAAGAGAAACAGAGAAAACAAATGAAAGTGAAGAAATCAAAGAAAACCAGTGAAAAATGAAGAAAACCAATAGACAATTGAAGAAAATCAAGGAAAACCGGAAAACCATTGAAAAATTAGAAAAATACAGGAAAAGCATGAAAAAATGAAGGAAATCAATGAAAAACGACAAACAAATGACAAAAAAATGACAAAGTTTCATGAACCAGAAAAAAAATGAAAATTGTTAAAAACCTTGGGTTTTTATCATTTTTTTGTCATTTTTCTGTAATTTTTCTATCATTTTCCTATCATTTTCTACAATTTTTGATGTTATTCTTTAATTTTTCGAAATTTTCTTTAATTTTCTAGCATGAAATCAATAAATCCATTGAACAAGTGAAGAAAGCAATTGGAAAAATTATAAATTCAAAGAAAACTATTCAAAAAATGAAGGAAACCAATGAAAAAATGAAGAGAAGCAACGAAAACAAATGAAAAAAGTAAAGAAATCAAAGAAAACCAGGGAAAAATGAAGAAAACCAATAGAAAATTGAAGAAAATCAAGGAAAACCATTGAAAAATTAGAAAAATACAGGAAAAGCATGAAAAAATGGAGGAAATCAATCAAAAACGCCAAAAAAATGACAAAAAAATGACAAAGTTTCATGAACCAGAAAAAAATTGAAAATTGTTAAAAACCTTGGGTTTTTATCATGTTTTTGTCATTTTTCTGTCATTTTTCTATCATGTTCCTATCATTTTCTACAATTTTTGATGATTTTCTTCAATTGTTCGAATTTTTTCTAATTTTCTAGCATGAAATCAATAAATCCATTGAGAAAGTGAAGAAAACAGTTGAAAAAATGAGAAATTCAAAGAAAACTATTCAAAAAATGAAAGAAGCCAATGAAAAAATTAAAGAGAAACAAAGAAAACAAATGAAAAAGTGAAGAAATCAAAGAAAACCAGTGAAAAATGAAGAAAACCAATAGAAAATTGAAGAAAATCAAGGAAAACCATTGAAAAATTAGAAAAATACAGGAAAAGCATGAAAAAATGAAGGAAATCAATGAAAAACGCCAAAAAATGACAAAAAAATGACAAAAAAATGACAAAGTTTCATGAACCAGAAAAAAATGAAAATTGTTAAAAACCTTGGGTTTTTATCATTTTTTTGTCATTTTTCTGTCATTTTTCTATCATTTTCCTATCATTTTCTACAATTTTTGATGTTGTTCTTTAATTTTTCGAAATTTTCTTTAATTTTCTAGCATGAAATCAATAAATCCATTGAACAATGAAGAAAGCAATTGGAAAAATGATAAATTCAAAGAAAACTATTCAAAAAATGAAGGAAACCAATGAAAAAAATGAAGAGAAACAACGAAAACAAATGAAAAAGTAAAGAACTCAAAGAAAACCAGTGAAAAATGAAGAAAACCAATAGACAATTGAAGAAAATCAAGGAAACCGGAAAACCATTGAAAAATTAGAAAAAAACAGGAACAGCATGAAAAAATGAAGGAAATCAATGAAAAATGACAGAAAAATGACAAAAAAATGACAAAAAAATGAACCAGAAAAAACATGAAAATTGTTAAAAACCTTGGGTTTTTATCATTTTTTTGTCATTTTTCTGTCATTTTTCTATCATTTTCCTATAATTTTCTACAATTTTTGATGTTGTTCTTTAATTTTTCGAAATTTTCTTTAATTTTCTAGCATGAAATCAATAAATCCATTGAACAATTGAAGAAAGCAATTGGAAAAATGATAAATTCAAAGAAAACTATTCAAAAAATGAAGGAAACCAATGAAAAAATGAAGAGAAACAACGAAAACAAATGAAAAAAGTGAAGAAATCAAAGAAAACCAGCTCAAAAAAAATGACAAAAAAATGACAGATCAAATGACAGAAAAAGACACAAAAATGACAGCACAAATGACAGAAAAATGACAGAACAATGACAGGTAGAATTTAGGAATGACAAAAAAATGACAAGGCCAAATGACAGAAAAATGACAAAAAAATGACAAAATAATTATTTCCAGGATTCTCAGCCTGTGGCTGACCAAGTTCTTCCTAAAATTAGGGATCCAAACCCAGTTCCCGGCTGCTGAATAAGCCCTGCTGACCGATCCGTGTGAAGAATCCAACGTTTGTGAAGGATATCCGGAACCCTGGCGTTACATAATATGCATATATATATACGGTATTATGGTACATTTACATATGTGATATGCACAATATTATATATATATATACATGTGTTCTAGATTATCATAAATACAATCTTATCATAATAGCAATAACAGTATTAGTAGTAATAACTAATAATAATAATAGTCAATAATGATTATTATACATACACGGGTTTTCAATTTTGTGAGCCCTAGTTATAGCAGTTGTACCGGTCACTTACACTGCCATGACTATCATTGTATTCCTGGTGATGCCTGCATTGTAACCCCCCCGCCCTCACGGGTTGTTCGAGCCATTCCTCCATTTGCAACATCCTGGCGTTTGTGGGTTTGCATGAGAAAAGGGTACTCCATTCCATACACCCCTTGTTTTTTGAAACATGTTTTTCCTTTTTTTGATGGTCATGGATTAAAAAATCGTTCCCAAGTTTCTTACAAACCCATAAGCTGGGTTTCATAAATGGAGTTCAACCCTAAAAAATGAGCTAGATCTACTCAAAGCTCCTAGTTCAAGATCTGCAGGTTTCCAAAAAATGAGGGCACCCCAAAACTTCCAAGTCGTCATCGCCATTGAGCTACTGAAACAACTATGGTGACGGGGAGTTTTCAGATGCAACAGACACCACGACTCGCCCTGCAAGGCGGCCTACTTGCGTGACGTCATTGAACGCTATGAATATGTCTCCCAGTACTGGTGGGTCATAACCTCAGCACCGTAACTCGGTCAAGCGACTGGTCAGAAAATCGAACTAGTACTACTTAATTTGTTGCGAATGGTAAAATGCATGAACATGCACACTCACCAGCTAAAAATTGGATTTGTTTGGCAGGTGTCTAAGGTGCACCATCGTAATTATGCCAATCTATTTTGACCATATCACCAGATTGGGTCTTGACCTTAACGTAGCAAACTGGAAATCACAATGTTTAACAGGTAAATCATCATAAATCATCGAACTAAATGGGCCATGGCTTCCATGGCAAACAGTTAAATAACCAGAAGGTAGTAATCTTAAGCATTTATTTCTTTTTCAACATGTTTGAGCATAGTTAAAACCCCAGTCTATTGATCAAGCTTTTGCTGGAATTTGTTGGGATGCTTACACAGGCCATTTCTTGTGAAATTGGGAGGTGATTGATTGTTGGTTTTCTACCACATCAAATGCCCATTCAACAAGATTACCTGGAGCAAACTTACAAAACGTAAGAAATCTGCAAAAAATATCATGTTTTTGTTCCCCTATTTTGTCCCAAAAAAAAGAAGGGAGGCTTGTGATATCTGTTGACGTTGAGCCAGGAAATGTTGATTTCCCGCGTACGGCTGGTCCACGGGGATAAAGCCTCATGACGGGAAATGAATGCTACAGAGTGGTACCCCCCAGTCATGTTAGTGCATAGTCTTTGGTGTATAGTCTCCATTCACTATAGATATTAGATATACCCCCCATAAACTCTAGTTATTGCGTTTATAGCCCTTTTTTAGAGGCTTCGGTCTATGCATGCTATATGTGTATTTGCACTCATACATTTAGATAGATGTACTCACACACACATGTCTACATATACGTATTATATATATACACTCAGATTAGACATATAGTTATACTTATACACATGTATATACAAGTATGTACATTAATGGGATTAGTGAACTGCTAAGCACCCCCCACAAACCGTGCTGCTTGATCCTTTCCAGGATGAGATTGAGAAGTGTGAAAAGTGCAAGATGTACAAGGTGCCGCTGGACAAAACGGCGAGGAGTTTAAGTTGTTTATCCGAGAAGAATGGGAGTTGATCCACCAAAAATGGCTTTGAACAATTTGAAGCTCAGAAAATTCAAGTTTGATAAGACAGACAGGTTAAGCAACAAAAGTTGCATGTGATCCAAGAATGTAGAATCATGTCAGTCTTATCAAACAAGCGGATTTGGGGTGGGGAAACTCAACCCATCTGCGACCAGACAAGATGCTCTTCTGGGTCAAAACAATGTGTGTTTCTGCTTATCATGTGCAGTACCGTATCACATACAAAAGTTATGGAGGATTCACATGGTTTAACCATGTCCAACGAACTGAAATGTGGTTTGATGGGGATTTTATATAGGGATATTATGGGATATGAATCTGGATATGTTTGATCCCGACCCCACTTCGCTGAATGATGATTTGAGTTGGGGTAACTATCCCTAAATGGCATTCCAGTTTTGTGAATTGGTTCAGTTTATCCATATCATTATGTCAGTATATAAGCCTATACAAGCACTTATAACTTATGGCATTTATAGCTGGGAAACCATCCATTTGATCACCAATATGCAACGAATTCACACAGTGGCCCTTTCACAGGGCAGGAGTCAAGTCATGGGGAAGATCCCAAAGAGATGCCAAATTCTACCGTGATTTCCATTTCAGCCGACCGGGGGCGCTACCCTCTGGTAAACTAGCAATGTTTAACAGGTAAACCAACCATAGCCATTTTCAATAGCTATGTTGAATTACCAGAGGGTACTATTATGCCATTCATCAAAATCCGGAGCGTTTGGGAACGAACAAGTTGAAGATCTGTATGGCGCGGGGCCAAGGGCCCTCCGAGGACATGGCCCATGGCTCAAGAGGGGTTGGCAAATATGCCTCACAGCCCAAGCATCGTACCGAACAATACTGAGATATACTAAGTAAAGGGCTGAAACATAGAGTCGCCCAGAATCTAACTGTCGGTAGCTGGAGCAGCGGCAAAAAAGTTGGATTTCCCGTGGCCTGGTTTCACAGATCCCCACCAAACGGGGGTCGCAAGGAGCCCATTTTCTCTTAAAGATCCATGGGTAGCAAGTTGAAATCATTTCAAATCCATGATCCCAAAGTTTTAGGTCGATAAATCATACAAAACCCAATATATTTAACTCTATCAACAGCCTTCCACGGCCACGCCGGGACTTGTGCAGGATGAAGAGATTTGTGAGGAATGCCTTGTGCCACTGAGCAGAACTGGGAGAACCCATGAGAACTGTCAGGTTTCTCCAAGAGTGGTGATTTAATGGGGATGTTATGGGGATAGAACTGGAGAATTTAGCTTGGATAGTATGTGTTCATATCCAAGCAAATATCCAAGTAACAATATGAGATTTAATGGGGATGTTATGGGGGATAGATATGTATATATTTAATTTATATGTATATATATACTTGGATATGACTACTTGTGTCTAATGGGTTTGAACTGGTATAAGACTGTTTTAAGACTCCACATGCTAGGGATTTAATGGGGATAAGCTCAGCTGGAAAAGCCTTCATGTGGCAATGGAAAATCCCCGGGAAAAGAGTGCTTTAATGGGAAAATCATCGATAAATGGGGGATTAATATCTATTTCAATGCTGATGTTGCAGATTATTATCCAATGAGAACATGAACACATGATTTTTTTTTAAAAAAAAACATAAACATGCAAATTTAGATTACATACCGAAGGGCGCATGGTTGTGGAATGAAAGAAGTCGAATTCTGCCCCAAGGAAAGCAAAGTTGAACCCGTCGTATTCTCAGACGCCTTGAGAACACAAGCCCTCGTGGTCCTCGTGGAAATCATTGGAAATCCTGGAACTAAATTCAAAAGGATGGAGAAAATTGGAAAATTATCTATAAATGGCATGTTGATTATTTATCACATGGACAATCAATTCTTATCAATTATCTATAAATGGAAGATTGTCCATTGCCTTGTTGCTGGCTGAAGATGGCTGGAGGGTAGATTACTCTATTGATGTCATTGACGTCTTGCCGATTTGATGAGGGTCTAAACTTCACCCAAGCTTGGCCCCAACTTCAAGACGTCAGTTTAGTTTCTGGGATGGTTTTTGCTAGTTACACTGAAAAATCAAGCTTGCAGGATCTTCCTGATGACCCATTTTTTTCGTATGTGAGATTGAGAAATGATTTGAAGATACCTCTAGAGCACACCCCGCTCCAATCTGCAAGACCTGAAATGAAAGCACTGAAGACCTAAACTGGGTAAACCGTTGTGAATGATAGGTGGATGTTGCCACTTAATCATTTCGATAGTTCGGATACCTTCATCTCGCAAGCTGTATTGTTACCCATGTGTAGCTGTATTAGTCTAAAGTTACACAGTTTAAGTGATACACCGTTATCAACCCTTTATAGCATTCTTATACATGACACCCTTACCAAACAGAATCTTTATCAATCCCTTTAGAAATACCATGAAAATTGCCAACGGTTTTCGCAGCTCCGCTGGTTCGAACTTTCACCCAGGTCCAGCGAGATGCTCCCAGGTTTCAGTCGGGCGGATCATTTTCGGAACGGGAAACTCATGGGTTTGCCATGCGTTGTTCCATATGTTTTTCATATGTGTTTTTGCTTCTATGTTTCACCCCAGGGTAAGATGGGTAACCATTAAAAATGATGATGATATTCCAATAACTGCTCAATGGAAGGTAGCAAAGTTCGCGAAGTATGGATTGTTGGATGTATGGCAGATTGTCTACTGCAAAGATCTATCGAGCTATCGGGGTTTATTGATGTTTATTGTAGATCATTAAGCACCATAAACCCTTGTTGAAGGCTTGTCAGGCCCTCTTCAATTCATGTGGGGTCAGTCTCTGATTTGTTGATCTCGATGACAGGGAGCCTCAATGTAGGTATGGTCCCTGGTGCATCTCCTGGGTTGAACCAACCCATTCATTACCTGACCATGACCTGCCCGGCGCCGTAATCTGGTCACGCCGTATTGCGTCCCACGGTTAGACGGTTAGACCATGTTTTTTTTTTTTAAACCTGGACAGTTAAAGTTAAATAAGTTAGTTATACATCAATTGTTTATACTTGTGTCATATCTAAATTTACTGCTAAGGAACCAAGAAACGTACGCGAAACGGCCAGAGGCAGCAACAAGAAGCGTCCAAGACTTCAAGGGAAGGCTTCTGAGAAGGAGACAACTCGGGGGCCATTTCAGCAACTGGGAACTTGACCCTCCAGTAAACTAACATAGCTACGGTATGCATGGCCAATAGAAAATCATAGAAATAGGTTATATATACATATATATATATCAATTATTTATGTGTATATATATAATTACATATATACATGTATATATTATAGCTATTAGATAGTTAATTTCCACAACTATGTTAGTTTTCTGGATTATATATTAAACTATATCCAGGCTTGTGAAAAAGAACTTGCCTAGTTTGGGATCTAAAATGCGTCTTAGCCATGACCCTTTAAAAGTCAACCTATCCCTTTCGAGCTCCTCTGCACAACTTTAACACAAATATCTAATGAACTCTAATGATGTAAATCCGCACTTTGACAAAAATGTTGTTTTTGCCCAACATAGAGTCTATGTAATGTACTTTCCCCATGCTTCCCCGAAAATTAAAAATTAGAGTTTACTTTCTTGTCTAATGAATTGTCTCAACACAGTCCCAGACCTTGGAGCCTTTTTGAATGTTGAATAGATCTTTGTAGCTATGTACTTTGACTTTTGACTTTTTTTTTCGGGGGGGTAGATGGGTTTGCCCATCCACCATGAATTTCCCCTTGGATGGACTTTCTGTCAAGAAATCTCTGTGGCGTCCTTGCCATTGTCCCCATGAAAACAAGCACAATTGGGGGCATGGCACAGCCCATGTTCAAGCACAACAAAATATGTTTGTAGTTCTAATTCTAGTTTCCTAATTTTCAGTTCTAGCTAGTTATAGCTATAATTACATTACGTAACATATCTTTTATATTATGCTATATTCCCATAAACGGCCGTAGGTGAGTGACATTTCCCATGACCCAGGACCGTCAGCGGCCGACCAATGGATGTGACAGCCGCAAGGCAAAGTGTTTTCGCAAGCCAGGTTGATGCTGAGAGTACCTTGGAAAGCCAGGAAATATGTGGTAAATGTCATCGAAGTACCATCCAGGTTGCACATTTTAAAAAATGGAGGTTACTTACTAGACCATGAACAAGGATGTCCCACGCATAGGTGGTTGACCTTCCAGCAAACATAGGGAAGTCATGGCGCATTTGTTGAGATGATCCACCTCATGTTAGCACAGCTATGGAAAAACCACTATCATCTACTATTTTAAATAGGTAATTCATCTATAAATAAGCCATTTTCAATAGCATTCAATAGCTATGCCAAATTGCCAGGGGCTAGATTACAGACTGAACTCTCGGAGAAGGCGATGGAGAAAAAAAGAGATTTATAACCCCGGTATATAATCCCATGTTCCTAAGGTGCAATGTCTTGTTTTTTTCATTCTTGTTGTCCGCATGGCAGTAAAGGGATGATAGCTGGAGATATTCTATATATAAACTATGTGTTTATTTGTATGCATATTATCGATATATATATATATACATAATTATATGCATGTAAATAATTATCACTGTATATATTTATCCAACTGGGCGAAAGTGTGCGAAGAATTTCCCATGTTTGATGCCAAGCCAGGTGCTTACTAGCCAGATTAACCACTTATGTCAGTGAGATGGTCCAGCAGATGGGGTTCCTGGTGGAAACATCGACACCAAATGGATTTTCCGGATCCACTTCGAAAAACCACGCGGCAACTTCAGCATCATGTGGAACCCAAGGCCCTGCAAGTCAGATGTCCAACCACTTCAAGTCTAGGAGAGTCTAGGAACTTCTTATGGTAAACTGCAATCATGATTTGGGTTATAACCCCCATTGATACATGCAAGCATACAAGCATGCAAGCATGCTTCCATCCATCCATCCATCCATCCATCCATCCACCCATCGATAGATAGATAGATAGATAGATGCATAGCATTGTTACTTATATAACTTATATATATATAGACATTTGTATACGATTGTATGTACGTATATACATATATAAAAATATATGTGTGTGTGTGTTTAGTTAAAGTAATTACAGATAGATACCTATCACAAACCCTAGTTATGGGAGTTGGCAACCAGCTTAGCTAACTATGGGGCAGCATTTTGCAGGAACATCAGCAGCGCCAGGTGTCAGACGCAACAACTGCCAGTGAACTTAGCTGCGAGGCCATGTGATGGCTGGGAAATCACCTGGTAAATGTCCATTGAATGGCTAGGAAAATCATCTACTGGCAAGGGCCTTCCAAAGGGCATTTGTAGTGAGAGAAAATGCGTCAAGGCATTTTGCAAATGAACAAGTGCCTGGTTGTAACAGTAATAGCATGCCATTCCCCAAACAGGGTGTTCACACGGAAGAGGTTCTAGGAAACCTCTGTTGCAGAGATGCGTTCTCGCCTGCGTGCCCTGTCTTTGGAGCTATGCACGTTTTGTGTGGCACGTTGTGGAGCCGTTTATAGCTAATTCCCAGAGGTCCTTGTAAAGAGATCTTCTGACTGGCCAATGAGATCCTTAAATAATGTTAAATCACAAGCTTGCAAGAATCTCAGAAAGGTTCTGCTATGAAGATTTTGGCCTAGATCTTGTAGAGATCCTTTTGAAAGAGATTTGGCTTAGATGTTAACAGCCCCTGTCATGGCCAAACACTGGTATGTTCCTTTCTCTTCCGGTTTCTGTTTGGCCATAAATGGGTATGTTCCTTCCATCTTCCAACAGGGTCTATTTAAAGGGATGTTGGGTGGGTTAGTTCATTGTGAGATGATTCTCGGCCGCATGCTTGTGCTGCGCAGCGGCTTCGATCATCATCTTCATTGTGAGATTATGTTTGATCGAAAAAAAAAGGTCGAGAGACAAGCAGGTAGAAGTTAGATGGATCGATGATTGGATAGATAGATAGGCAAACAATTCTTTAGATGGAACTGATGTGTATTCTCTTTCATGTTGTTTTCAAGCTTCAAACGATTCCTTAGGATTCCTTAGGGGTGTCTTTCCTACACCGAGCAATCCCCGCTTCATTGCATAAAGACTCCAAACCATAGTCTTACAAACGTTCGAAGGCATTCGAATGCCTACTTTTTTAGAATCCACGAGGTGCAGACATATCGAAGAAGGGAACGATTTGTTGCATATGATTTTTGGTTTTACTCTGGGGGATCACGAACAACCATCAAATTAAGGTGAAGACCATCGATATTGGATCAGAATAGCGCGTTGAACATCAAAGTGCCTAACCCAACATGTTGGGTTTTTGTCCAGTTGGGGCGTAGTCCGCATGAGTTCCCATCGCTTATTCCACAGCGAATTTGACAAGGCAAACCCAATGCTTGCCCTCTTGGAAAGTGGTGTTCAGATGTTTTCAGATGTTTTCAGCCTTGGCAAAGCATTGTTTAGTTTCCATTGTGCTTTCAAGGACAGTATAGATAG